ATCTCGCATTTCGGAATCTCTGCGATTGAAGCTAGGCTGAAGTTTACTAGGTTTAGAGATGGGAATGGGAATATTAGCGACCCGAATGCGAATTCTACTGCTGTGTTTACTATAATGGTACAGGGTTTGCCTAAGAATTTAGGGTCTGATAGAGTTGAGTTTGAAGAGTGTTTTAGGCAAAAGTATCCGGGGAAGGTTTATAAGATTATTGTTCCGATGGATTTGTGTGCACTGGATGATCTTGCTACAGAGTTGGTTCTTGTTCGAGACGAGATTACTTGGTTAGTTGCCAAGATGGATTCTAGGCTTCTACCTGATGAGTTTGAGAATGCTAGAGATAAAGGACTACTGTCGTGTGTGTGGTCTATGTGGATTAGTGTGAAGGTATTGTGGTCTCAGATTACAGAGAGGTTTGGTTTTACAGATGATGAAAAACTGAGGAAGCTGCAAGAATTGAGAGCTGATTTGGAGTCTCAGTTAGCAGCTTATAAAGAAGGGCGAGCACAAGGCGCTGGGGTTGCTTTTGTGATGTTTAAAGATGTGTACACAGCCAATAAAGCTGTTCAGGATTTTCGAAATGAAAGATCAAGGAGGACTGGGAAGTTCTTCTCTGTCACAGAGCTGCGGCTGCAGAGAAACCAGTGGAAAGTTGAGAGAGCACCCTTGGCAACTGATATTTACTGGAATCATCTGGGGTTAACAAAAGTTGCTCTTATCATACGAAGAGTGATTGTGAATACGATTCTACTATTGATTCTTGTGTTTTTCAGCTCCCCGTTGGCCTTGATTAGTGCCTTGGTAAGTGCCGGGCGAATCTTCAATGCTGAAGCATTGGATAGTGCTCAGTCTTGGCTCACTTGGGTGCAAACTTCTGGCTGGATTGGATCTCTTATTTTTCAGTTTCTGCCGAATGTCTTCATATTTGTTAGCATGTACATTGTGATCCCTTCTGCTCTCTCGTATCTGTCCAAGTTTGAGCGACACCTAACAGTGTCTGGGGAACAAAGAGCAGCTCTCTTGAAGATGGTTTGCTTCTTCCTTGTGAACCTTATCGTACTCAAGGCTCTTGTTGAGTCGTCGCTGGAAAGCGCACTCTTGAAAATGAGCCGTTGCTATTTAGATGGTGAGGATTGCAAGAGGATTGAAGAATACATGAGCCCTTCCTTCTTATCAAGGTCATGTGTTTCTGCACTAGCTTTCCTCATCACAAGCACGTTCTTGGGAATCTCCTTTGATCTTCTCGCCCCAATCCCGTGGATCAAGAAAAAAATCCAGAAATTCAGGAAGAATGACATGCTTCAGTTAGTCCCCGAGCAAAATGAAGAGTACCCTTTGGAAAATCAAGAGCCAAGCAGCAACCTTGAGACACCACTTCTCCCTGAAAACATGTTTGAGTCTCCAAGATTTGGCGACATTGAACCTATGAGCCAAGGCCTCTCTGATTACCCAATCAGCCGAACCTCGCCAATCCCCAAACAAAAATTCGACTTTGCCCAATACTACGCCTTCAATCTCACCATCTTTGCCTTAACGATGATATACTCTTCATTCGCTCCACTTGTGGTCCCTGTAGGCGCGGTTTACTTTGGTTACAGATACATTGTTGACAAATACAACTTCCTATACGTGTACAGAGTCCGCGGCTTCCCTGCAGGCAATGAAGGAAAGCTTATGGACACGGTTTTGTGCATCATGCGGTTCTGTGTCGACCTGTACCTCGTCTCGATGCTTTTCTTCTTCTCTGTCAAAGGAGATTCCACAAAGCTTCAAGCCATTTTCACACTTGGGGTGCTTGTGATGTACAAGCTTTTGCCTTCGGATACAGACCGGTTTCAACCTGCTCTTCTTCGGGGCATTCAGACCGTTGATAGCATCGTGGATGGACCTGTGGATTACGAAGCTTACTCTCATCCCAACTTCGATTGGGACACTTACGACAACAGATGATTCTACGACCTTGTGTTATTAATTTTGCTCGTTAACCAAAAAATTGGGACTTAGAATCTATTTGTTGAAGTTAAATATTCTTTTTTTGTATATCTCTTTTGTGTATATTATATTCCAATCTTTTGTGCATTATTTGCTTTTATCACGCGGGATTTAAGGATTACCAGGTTGTAACTGTATCTTTCTTAAATTTTGGGTGAAATGTCAGAAGAAACTGAAATTGTGGGGTTGAATTGAATTATAATCAAATTATCAGGCGGGACCCATTGGAACGTAGTTTTTTTTTTTTTTTGTCAACACATGGATTGTTACACTCACCTAACGAAGAAGAACATACAGTAGATCTCTTCTCTTCCTCTCTCAGTCTCAATTTTTCCTCAAAATACCTAATTTTGCTTTTTTGTTCCCTCGATTTCTCACTGTTCCAAGATCTCAATCACGCATTTTGATTTCGAATATTTTCTTGGGTCATGATTTCTCTCATTTTCTCTTTGTTTTCCCGAGAAAAAACTCCGGGAAAGTAGGATAATCTGTCGAGCTTGAGTGATAAAATTGTTCCCAATGTCGTGCTGTTTCTTCAAGTGTGCTTTCTTCTTGATCCAGATTTTGACGTTACTGAGCTCCAGGAGCTGTAATGGTCGAATCTTCACCTTCGAGATGCACCATAGATTCTCCGACGTAGTCAAGCAGTGGTCAAATTCAACAGGAAGATTTGCTACTTTTCCTCCTAAAGGAAGCTTCGAATACTACAACGCTCTCGTTCTCCGTGATCGGTTAATCCGTGGTCGTCGTCGTCTCTCGGAGTCAGAATCGGAGTCGTCACTCACTTTCTCCGACGGAAATTCCACTTCTCGTATCAGTTCTCTCGGATTGTAAGTACATTTCGCTCAGATTTGTTACCAATAACTTCGAATCTTCCTGATTTTTTTGTCTGTTTCAATCAATCTTCTGATATCAGTTTGCATTACACGACGGTGAAATTGGGTACTCCGGGATTGAGATTCATGGTGGCTCTCGATACAGGAAGCGATCTCTTCTGGGTCCCTTGCGATTGCGGCAAATGCGCACCTACCGAAGGAGCAGCTTACACTTCTGTATGTTAACACTTTTTACCAATTACAGTTATTGAGTTCACTGATGATCTTAGCAATTGAATCCTTGATTCTGGGTTTCTGTTTGCTTTGATTAGGAGTTTGAGCTGAGCATTTACAACCCTAAAGTTTCAAGTACAAACAAGAAGGTCACCTGCAACAACAGTCTATGTGCACAGCGTAACCAGTGCCTTGGAACATTCAGCACTTGCCCTTATATGGTGTCTTATGTCTCTGCTCAGACTTCGA